TGAGGGGCGGATGAGGGGCAGTCGACGGGCGGGGCTGTTATGAGATGAAGATGAAGAAGGGAGTCCTTTCGGAAGCGTAGAGGGTCCAGGGCAGCGGTTGCGAGCCGATTGTTCGATTCTGAAGGGCAGCTTGAGCGGGCAGGAGATTGGCTGGGGCGGCGCTGACGCCGAAGCTCAGCAGCAGAGCCTCGGGGCGGCCGCCTGCAGCCCGGCCCTCGTCCCGTCAAAACACGCACCCCCCTGCCCCCCCACACCCCGCCTCACCCGCCCTGTTGAAGTCGACCAGGGTGTGGCTGGACCCCGCCAGGCTGTCCGCCCCCCCGTGGACGCTCTTCCCCGCGTCCTCCTCCAGGTGGGCCCGCGTGATGCCAAAGCGCTTGGGGCCATCGGGGGTGTCCACCGCCAGGTGGCCGCCACTGGGGGGGGGGACAGCGTGGCATGACATGGTGTGGTGTGGTGTGGTGTGGTGTGGTGTGGTGTGGTGTGGTGTGGTGTGGTGTGGGGCCTCCGTAGATGACCGCATGTGCTCGATGTGGATGGGGCCGCCAAGGGGTGTGCACAAGTGTCATCGGCTGCCGCGGGCGGCCGCCGGATGGCCCCTGCTCGGCCCCGTCCCCGCCCGCTGCTGGTCGCTGTTGCCGATGTGCCTGTGACCGATTAAGCCAAATCCTCCTCAGCGCACCTGCAGATTGGCAGGTCGTACTGGCTGATCTGGTAGCCCTTGGGCAGGTCCGCGTAGAAGTACTGCTTCCGGTCAAACTTTGACCGCCGCGCGATCTGGCAGTTGAGCGCCAGGCCCGCCTTGATGGCCAGCTTCACGGCCTCAGCGTTGAGGACGGGCAGGGTGCCCTGGTGGGGCAGAGGTTGAGAAAGGGGCATGCATGCAGGCGGTGGATTGTCGAGTTGTGGGATTGTTCTGGGGGTGGGCGGTGTTTAACTGGGGGGGAGGGAGGAGGCCCGGATCATGGGATAATCGCGAGCCCTGCTGGCGGTGATGGGGGGCGGACGCTCAGACGGACGCGATACGGCGGCAACAAGGTTTCTATCCGTGGCAACTCCTACACCGCTGGCGACGCTCCCGCTCCCCCCGGCTGGTGCTGCTGCTGCCGCTCCTGCTGCCGCTCCTGCTGCCGCTCCGCGCGGCTGCTGCTGGCGCTGCTCCCGCTGCTGGTGAGGCAGTAGTGGCGGCAGCGAGCGACCCACCGGGTGGCCCATGCACACGGGGCAGACGTGGGCGTTGGGCTCGCCGCCATACTGGTTGGGGCAGGAGCAGAACGCCTTGGTGCGCGTCTGCAGCTGCACGTGGGTCTCAATGCCAATGACCGTCTCGTACTCGACCTGGGTATACCACAAAATGGTGTTTACAGGTATGTGGCGTGGAGACGGGTGACTGGGGTGCACGCTACAATGCCCAGGAGGGGGCAAGTGCAGACCACTCGGCTCTGGAGGGCACTGCTGGTGCCGTTCATTCGGCTCATGGTCCACTGATGTTGCAGTTGGTGGCTGTGCTTGGAATGCACAGAGAACAGCTGCACACAACATGCATGGTAGCCCTGTGGGCAACAGAGCGGCCCACGAAATAAACTGCGGACCGCACCTCGGCTGCCGCGCCCGCTGCCTCACTCGCCGGTGCCTGCGCCACTGCCGCCGCGCAGCACACCGTGCGGTGTGCCTGCAGCGACCGCACGCATATTTCCCGTTGCTCTGCCGCAGCTTGGGCCCAATGAAGGCTGATATGCGATCGAGCCCTCGCTGGCAGGCTTGGCCGGGCAGCAAGCGCCAGCCCAGCACTGCCCCTAGCCGTGTGGAGCAGTTTGCCACCACACCTCATCAATGCACTTGCTAGAGAGGCCGTCAGATCGATGTGTGGTCAGCGCAAGTACGCGACGCGCCTTGCAATCCAAGTATGTACTTGAGAAGAGAGGACATCAATGCACGGCAATCAAGCTCGCGCTTGCTGATATGAGATGACAGAATCGCTGGCCAGGCACGCTCCCGCCGCGCTGCGTGCTGTGCCACCTGGACCTGTTTGGATACAGGTGTGCTTCGCTTGTGCCGATGATGTGATGTTCCCAACAAGAGAAGAGAGGCAACAATCGTATGAATGCAGCTCACGGGTGCAGATACTGGCGAGGAATTTTCACTCAGCTGCGCAGGCACGAACAAAAGTCAACTCAGGGGCCGCTACGTGGTCAACACATCGGCTGACGTGAGAAAGCAGGGCATGCCACGGCAATAATGACCCTCAACAGTATTCTGAAGTGCAAAAGTGCCATCCGAGCTTCTGTGTCCGTTGCAATTTGTGCGTATTGAGCCCGTCCCTCTGTCTTGGCTGGCGGCCTTAGCTCGCAGCAGGTGCGTACATGCACCGTGAGGCGGGCTGCCACGCCCTCGCTGGTTGCCCCTTCCACGCGTACGTGCTCCACGCAGCACCGCTTGTGGACTATCTGGACGGCACTCTAAACATGCTGCTGAAATGGAGGGTGCCGATGCGCGGCTGGTCTGGCTATTTGTCGCCCCCAGCGGCAGCTCGCAGGGCGGTCAGACTGCCGCGCGCCTTCCCTGTCCAGAACCGGCTGTAATGATATCGTGATGATGCTTGTTTTACAGCAGGCACGCGCCGCACGCAGCCCGCACATGCCACCAGGCACAACGCGCCGCGCGCCTCAAATCCTCGGCCGCTTGCGCGCGGGCGTGGCCCCGACCTCCAGCCTGTCCGGCTTCTTGAACGCCGCCTGGTTGCCGAACCCCTTCTCCTCAAACAGCTGCTTGATCTTCCCCAGCTGCCCGTCCAGCTTCTGCTCCCGCCGCCGGTCGTCCGTCATCGCGCCCGGCCGCCGGGCGCCTTTCTCGGCCCCCTCCTTCCCGCCCTCCGCGCCGGCGGCACCGGCCGCGCCCTTCTTCTTGCCCCCCTCCTCCTCCTCCTCGTCCGCCAGCGCAGCGCCCCCCATTTCTGGAAAGAACTCGCCGTAAGCGTCGTCCCCCATCTGCTTCAGAAGAATGCGCGTCTGCTCAGACACCTCCTGCTTGCGCGGCCGCCACTTC